CATCCCTGCACCGACAATATACATGTTAGCCCTTGATTTCTTAAAAAACAGTCAAATAAAAAGGAAGTTTTCTTAGGATAAAAAATTAAGTGTAATAAGGGCAGTAAGCCCGATTTTACATGACTCCCTCATTAAGATTACAAACAGTAGCAGCTTTGTCGACCAATAAAAAAATACCACTATAATTGATTTTGTATGTGTTTTATCATATTTCTCACAAAATTAGCCTGTATTTCTGATGAAGAGAACTTGGGGAAGGGGAGGCACAAACAGGACAAAGCTATAAGACCACTTGGACCTGGCTGGCTACATGTTACACCCCCTATTCGGCCACTTAAAAACTACCAGCTTCCTCTGAAAAAGATCAAAACAAAGAGAGAAACATGTAACCATAAAGATCAATCTAACATGAAGGCTGCCGTGACCGAATTGCAGTAACATGCAAATTTCATGCACTACACACTACTTCAATATTACATCAGTAGGATTTCAAAAGTTGCAGATTTCGTGTAATTTTGCTTCATATAAATTAAATGGATCCTGTTGATCCTATTTTTTCTTGTGTAGCATCTAGCGATTAGAAACCTGTATACAGGGACACATCAAATAAAAAAAAGCATCCGGAAAATACCAGGACACAATTTTATGTGTACATGTGTTTGTTTATGTGCAAGTCTCCATATATAGCACATGAAAATATTTACAACAACAACAACAACAAAGTCTCAACAACTTTTCCGGGTCAGCTACTTCAATCATATTCAAATTTGTTAAGGGCTCATCTTCTCTGTTTATTTAACTATCACCATATCTTTTTTTAGCGCTTCCAACAAAATTCTCTTAGGCTACCTCTAGTAATATCCATAATCTTATCACTGCTCTTAACCCGTGCATTCGTGGCCTTCATGGAAAATGATCAAACTATCTCAATCAAAATTCTCTCATTTTATCCTCAATGGGATTAACGTTTAACATCCAAAGAATGCACTAATTTTTATCCTACCTCTTAGCGTGTATCCACAAGTCCATCATAACATCACCGCTTCTTCTACTCATTTTTCACAAATGTTATTTCATAATTGTTGAACATTCTCATATATAAAGCATTGTTAGTCTTATAACTATTCTCCCTTCAATTTCATAGGTTTCTTACGAATTACATAAGATGCAAAAGGCACTCAATTAAACCACTCTGATTCGATTGAACAATATTATACCATCAGCAAATATACACCGCGAGACTTCGTCTTAAATGTCCAGTATATTGGTCTATAATTATTGCATACCCTCTGAAAACATTTTGACATGGCAGCAGTGCAACAGAGACGTGTTGTACAAGGTTGTGTCTGACAAAGTGTCAGACGCGGGACTGACTTTGCATTATACATGCTCCCTACATCCTTGATACTGCAGTTCTATTTTCGTTATCTACGACATCGTCACACAGTGCACAAAGTTATTCATTCATTTATTTGTGGGCCACAGTCATCTATCTACTTAGTATTATAGAGGACCTAGCAGTATTTACAGAAGAAAACATATTAACAACTAAGCTTGAAGATTGCAGTACACCAAACCTTTAATTAAAAAAAGAAAGCTGGGAGAACTTCTTTGCGCTATTTTATCCCATATAACATGTCACCAAACAGTAATTATTCCATTAAAAATGAACGGATTAATGAAACTTTCTCGTATGAGTAGAATATACAGACCTCCACACCTCAATCAGTGTTTTTCTCGTGGTCATGCCTAAAGCTCTTCCTGGATCCTTCTGTTATCAATATGAAAATCTCATTAATCACAAAAAAGAGCGCAGAACATACAGAAAGGGGAATATAATTTTCTACTTTCTAAGTCAAGATGAAGGATATGATGGCTTGAAACCCGGTGGTGCCGCTGACACAAATTTGTATGTAGAAAGAAAACAAATGATCCACATATGTGAAATTACGAGGAAGGCTAGCCTTGGTAGAACTTCTCATAACAAAACTAAAGGAACTGACCTCAATCTGTCTTCGAGTTTTCACAACATCAAGGGGACAAGTTGCAGCAGCAGCAAGGCTACCAGCAACAAAACCAGCGGAGAAATTCGCTGCAAGAACACAAGCTGCACTGCTTTCCTCACCAATCATCTGAAGTAACCTCCTTCGAATCTGTAGCATAGCAACTACCACAATTACTAAACCATATGCAATCTCAGACCAGAAATTCGTTTCATCGTGAATCTTAGAATGGATTGAAGTAATGGAATCCACAAAATAAAGCATAATGGAGGAAGACAGGAATCGCGTACCGGCTCAAGAGTCGACCAGCAAATAGCAGAAAAAGGGACATCACGAGCTAATTGTGCTCCCACGCCCGTCCATAGTAAACGGTAACCTTGCACTGCTTAAATCATTCAACAAAGTTTAATGACAACGTAGGGACAACGAAGGTGTTGGTACGGGTTTTAAACAGACCTGACCCGCTCAAATGACTGGCCAGTCTGAGTATTCGGGTTGGACCTGAATATCAACCCGAAGTGGGGCCAGGCTAACCCTATTACAGGTCAGGGTTTGTTGCCTCTATTTCCCCAGAAAATATATACAGGGGTTCATGAAGAGGTGCAGAAAAAGCAAATACCGTATCCTCCAAAAGTTCTTGTTTAGGGCTAGTCGTGACTTGTGGGTGATAAGCTGGGCTTTCGCGCTTTTTACGAAGTGACTATTCTCTGACCGTTGATCAAGACAATCAACAAGGTAAGGCTAGCACTGATTTACAATCTACTATTAAGGTATAATCATCTAGTCATTTATAAATTTTAGCAAGCATATCAGGACTGTTTTTCTTCCAATGTATGATCTATGCTTTATTGTTAGATAGCTCTATTGGATTACTTGTCCTAGTGATACATCACCATAAATCTACAGAAAATATTCACAGGAAAACAAGTTAAACTGTATGCATTAATTTGCACAATCCATGTATAATGGATACACTTTACCCTGCCTATTGGCAAAAGAAATGGTATTAGTAATAGATTGGAAAGGAGATTTGATTATCTCTCCCTCGTCAACAAATAGTATTACCTCGAATATAAGCTTATAGCACAGACAAAGGAGAACTGAGGAAGACTATACCATTATCGAGGTACTTTGTGCTCCTAAAGGGTGATAGAATTCCAAGTAATGTTTTCCACATTCCAGGGAGCTTCACACCAGCTTGGAACTCTTTAAAAGCCTGTTTGATACAAAAAGTAACAAACTAGTACATTTTATGTGATTAATTGGTGGTATGAAAATTACCAAAGGAAACACCAACTTTAATGTAGAGATGCTTGCTCAGACAAATTCCAAAAATAAAGAAATCACTGACCTTTTTAGTTAGAAAATAACAAACGAAAACAAACAAGCAACAAAGTCTTTAACCTAAATTGTTAGGCTCGGCTACAAGAATTCTATTCTTCCATATTCTATATTGGGTCATCTCCTTTGTTAAGTAAACTAATTCATATCCTTTAAAACACTACCCAACATTCTGATCCTTAAAACATTGTTAGTCTTATAATTATCCTATAGAATTTTCTCTTCAATCTCGTAAATACCCAATGACCACACAATCCTCTAAAGAGAATCCTCCATTTGAACCATCGTGATTTGATATGACGAACAACATTATCCTCAATCTCATTAACATGACAAATAATTGATCCTAAACAACTAAAGTGATATACTTTTAGATATTTCTTGATTGTCAAGATATACAACAGGCTCCTTTCTCCTTACAGTTTTATTAGAATTATATTCCATTTGTTCTTATTTGTTCTACTAATTCTAAATCCTTCAGATATATGATCTTATCTCCACCTTTCTATTTTATAAATTATGCTACAAAGCTTTGTCAACCAATACTATATCATCAACAAATAACATGTATTATGGAATGAAGTAAACTTATGTCTACTAATATGGTCTATATCTAAAGCAAAATGGACAAGGACTTATAGATGATCCTTAATGTAAACCTATGAAAATAAGACATAACTTTGCCTCCTTATTTGTTCTCACTCTAGTTATTAATCTATCATACATATCTTTAACTTTGTCTCCTTATTCGTTCTCACTCTAGTTATTACTCTATCGTATGTATCTTTTATTACATTAGCAAACATACTAGATAATGTTTATTCCTAAAACTCACTCTCCATTGTATCCCAAGGCACTATATCATAAGCTTTTTTCTATATCAACAAAAACCATATAAAGATTCTTTCTCTTCTCTGTATACCTCCATCAAACATCTTAATATATAAATAGGTTTCATAATTGACCTTCTAGGCATAAAACCAAATTGGTTCTTAATGGACATATCTTCTTTCTCAGCTCTTGCTTAATTACACTCTTCCAAAGTTTTATAACATGAATCTTAAGTTCAATACCATAATAGTTTGGACAAGTTTGTGTATCTCTTTCATTCTTGTAAATCTGTACCAAAGTGTTCATTGTCCACTCATTAGACATGTTTTAGTCTCAATAAACTTGTTCAATATATTAGTAACCATCCTAACCATGTACCTCCGATTCTTTTTAAATTACAACAGAAATATCATTCAGTACTGCGGCTCTTCTACTTCTCATTTTCTTTAAAGCATCTTTAGTCTCATTGATCGTAATTTTTGACAATATGTATAGTTTCTATCATGCACTATATGGTCATATTCTCTCTACCATTCTCCTACTTGATTATCATCAAACAATATATATAAGTAATTTCATCTATCTTTAATTTTCTCGCTGGTTAATAGAACTCTTAGATATTCACTCTTGATACATACAACATTACACAAGTCTGTACTCATTCTTTCTCTCATCTTAGCAAATCTTATATGTGTGTGTATACATATATCTTTTTTTTTTGTCCTTAGATGCTAACTTCTTAAATAAAGTATCATAAGCCTTGTATTTAGAGTGTTTGGAGGGGCTTATTTTTAGAAGCTTTTAAGCTGCATTAGTTCTTTCTTGGTGGCTTTCGACTTTTATGGAAAAATATTATACAAAACTTCGGGTAGAAGAGTAATTTGTTTGGTCAAACCTAGTCTGTTTATGTGAGCATAGAAGCTAGTTTTTCAAAAGCTGGGGTATACCAGCTTTCTAAAATAGGCATTATAAACTAACTTATTCGATATTTTACCAAACAAGTAAATATAAAAATGCTAACCTAAAAGCTAGTTTGACAAAAAAAGCTCCCCCAAACACCCATTAATCTCAATAGTATCTTTTTTCGCCTCTTTTTCTTTGGTAGTTTATATTTTTCAAAATTTCCTTAATACCACACTTTTGTCAATCCTTATATAATGTTTTCTTCACTATAATCACTTTTTGATCTTCTTCATCCCATCATTACGCCATGCCTAGATTCTCCAAGAATTTCTTACCTACCATCTTAATGCAAGGAGACATACTATTCCGCATAATATTAGTCTCATCATCTATATTCCACGTATCTACATGTTAACTTGTGTTGTGTGGTTAAACTCTCACACACACACTCTCTCTCCCCCCTCCCTCCCTCCCTCCCTCGCCGTACAATTTTACCCTGTACAATTTTACAATCGCTGCATGTTAACTTATCTATCCTTTTAGTAAGAAAAGTCCGACTACTCAGAAATCCATTTTTAAATATTATTAAGTGCCCATACCTCTCTTTAGAAGTATGCATTTACTATTATAAAATCATATGACATTGTAAAATCTAAAATCATCTCTATTGTATTCTTCTTTTCTCCATATCCAAAACCTATACATATACTCTCATATTCATTATTATTTTTACCAACATGCTTACAAATATCTCCTATATATACTCTCCTCAGTACTAACAATATTAAGTACAATTATGCCTAATATAATTTTTAATAGTATTATTTTATCTCCAAATTGTTTACATCTATAACATTATCTTTTTATTATGTTATCTACAAGTATCCCATCTTGTTTCTACGCTTCTTTTTTCTTGTATACGAAGTATGTACCCGATATTTTCAATTTCCCCATAGTTTTCACCTACCCATTTAATCTCTTGCAGACACTATATTAATTTTTCTTCTAATCGTGATATCTATTGATTTCATCATCTTTCCTGTAAGTGTAATTGTATTCCAAGTAAAGCCTCTCACTCCTTTCTCTCCCATGACTTTCTAGTTTATGCCTAATAGGCTAATACTATTTGGTATCTTGTTAGAGAATAGTAGTTTCTTAAAACACCTTTGCTTATTTGTTCCTACACTAGGGTGGCATCAATGTAACACATAGGAATGCCCTAGTAAAGCATCCTCGCCTACCTATCATTGCTAAAGTAGTATCGATTAAATTCGTCACAGTGGGGATGCCCCCAATGAATATTCTCAGATCTGACTATGTTCACATTGGTTGTCAGCTATGTAACACAACCTACGTTACATGGACTCGGGTACGAGTATCCGATACGGGTGCGGATCCGAGTATCCGATACGAAATTTCTGAAAATTTGGGATACGGGGACACCGTCTTAAATTTCGACACGGGTACGGGGATACGGCAATAAAAAATATTAAAATTTCATAAAAAAATTCGTACCCGTATACACTTTTAAAATTTCATAAACTATATGAAGAAGTGACGGTACAACTAATTTATTTTTTAAAATTATTAGGTGTATGTATGATGTATATAAAATGTTCTTGGGTGATCAAGTGAAAATAAGAATATCAATTTAAAAAATAATAATTTAATTTATTTAATGAAGTAAAACTAATTAAATTTCATTCCTCTAACCCGTATACACTTTTAATTGCTTCAAATATCTATTGTAAATCCAAGAATTTCAAAAATTATACATCTGTAACAACTTAAGCCTAAATTTACAGAAAAACAAAGTTTAATCAACAACTCAACATGTGAAAAGCTTTGTAACTTTTCAACTTCCATTTTTAACTCTTCAATCTTCATTACCTGCAAGCAAAAGAAATCGTGTTAGACAACTGTTATGGAAATTAATTGCTCCAACCACGTCATTATTACTCAGCCTATAGTCAAATTCACGGATTCACCCCCTCACCGATAGTCACATTCACGTTCGTATTCATCCCCTCACATTCGCACCTCATATTAGGGGGGGAAAGGAAAAAGAAAAGGGGAAAGCAACGGTGACGGCGAAATTATCAACGGCGACGGCGAAATTAAGCCATTGCACTCGTCTCGACCTCGCGTGCAAAAGCCCCATCACCACTACAAACAATTTCGAAGATCATCTGAAGCAATTTCCAGATCTAGTGTTTACTATTCAAACCCTAGATCTCAAAATATTTTAATGG